TTAAATTCTTCCCCTCTATTGCTGAGAGGAGAAAGTGCCAATACTTCTCTCCCTCCTTCGAACTGACACAGCTCCTTACGGGGCACGGCAACCTGGGCAGTTATCTGGCCAGGTTCCACCGCAAAGGCGACGGCCATTGCTCCTGCTCCTCTGCTGATTGGATGGACAGCGACCATGTACTATTTTATTGTGAAAACTTTAATCATGAAAGGCAGGCTCTTGTCGCCAGGGCTATTGAAGAAAACATCGCATGGCCTTGTAGCCCGCATACTATAATCAGTAACAAAAACTTATACAGTGCCCTAGTTAAATTCTGCAAGGAAATCAAAATTCTTTCCTAATCCAACCTGGGACTATTCACTACAACCATCCGAAGACAGTCAACCCGCCAATGTGGACCTTGCAAGTTTGCAGCTTCCTACCCACTATTGCACCTAAATGGTTGCTTGTAGTGGTCATCTTCCCTGCCACACTGCTTTTGCTCTACGTGGTTTTGTGTGTGGCTGTTCTGTATTACTGTTATATAGGTAATTTTGTGTAATTATGATAATTGTCGGGATCTATTGTATCTGGAATACTTTCCTTGTCTTTGTAATTATGTTTTTATCCAATAAATGGCACCCGATGCAGACCTCTGAGATCCCATTCCTTCTCTTTTCCTCACCTTCTCTATCCCACCCTACCCACCCTTCTTTCTATCTCTCCTTCCCTCTTCCCCTAGGCTATGCCATCATTGGTTAGGCCAGTCTATCTACTAAGTGTCTATAGAAAAGAGGGCGACGAGTCGCGAACGTGTCTGGCTGTGTGTGAGTGAGCTCCCGCTTCCGATCGTTCCACCGCTGTTGGATTACGTCAATCTATGGATATCAATACATCGTTAGATTCGTCTAATAGTAAGATCTCATTTAACGTTTATTTCGTTTAAATCGGTTAAGCCGTTTTAAAGTTACGGTCTTCGGAACTTTTCGGCTTTTCGCCGCTTCTTTCCGGGTCGTTTCCGCGGAAAAGCGGAATCCTTTATACACGTCTTTTTCGCGCTTTCACGCTGATTAGTCTGATATATAATTTATACCTGTCCGCTCCGTATTTTTTGAGTTTTTACGTCCGTTATCTGTCTTGTTTCGGGCTTATTTGCGGGCTCGTCGGGCCGCCGATCACGCTGATTCTTGGGTGTTTCTTTCGCCTATCTTTCAGCTACGTGCTACGTAATTTTCATCTCGTAACTATCAGTAGTTTCCGTGTTACGATCGTTCTTAGATTTACCGAGAACAAAGATCCAAGAGGTCATTGACCCCGTGCACGTGGCCGGCTGCTATCCCCTACCTGACCCTAATTCGGGTCTTTCGGGGTCGTTTATCTCGGGCTTCGCTCGAGATATCTGCAAGTGTGATACACCGTTCTATTGGTGGTATTTTTGCCTTTCTTCTGGCCGGCTGAGCCCGCGGGCCGTCTTGCGGGCCTTTCGTTATTCGTATTTTTTCGGCTGTTTCGCTACTAGCGTCTTATCACGCTATTATGGACGACTCTGTCCTAACTCCGAGACCACAAGAGTGCAATTACTCATCGAGGAACCCCAGTTCTCCTAACGGAAGTGAGGCTGACCCTAACGAGTGGAATACTTGGGAAAACGAAGATGATATGTTAAAAGAGGCAAGCATTTGCCTAGGTAGGATTATCGAGCTGTGTCCCCAATCAAAAAACTCAACGGTTCGGGTCCACGAAAGGGCCGAAGTTCGGGACTGTGCCGCTAAACTTTTCGCCGCATTAAATCAGATGTACGGGATGATGAAAGTTTTGCGGACTCAAAAAAGTGTTCCTATCAGTGAAAGCGTAACCTCACAGAAGACATACGCCCAAGCCATCACGGCTGGTCCTAAGCCCAGCAACACAACCAAATCAATTGCTAAAACACTGAACACCAAGCTGCAGAATGAAGGTACAGGGGGGAATCACGCGGTATTGGTCTACCCCAACACTGAAGACCCCGAAAAACAGATAAAAACAGAAGAGATAGCTAAGACTATAATGTCAGAAATAAAACCCCAAGACCTTGGGATAAGTGTAAAAGGAATACGTAAAATCAGCAATGATGGGGTCTGTATAAGGGTGCAAAACAACTCTGATGGAGAAACCCTAAGCAAGGCTATCAAAGGCATCAGTAGCATAAAAGACAAAATCAAATGCCACGTTGCAGAAGGACGCAGGCCCAGAGTAATATTGCTGAACGTGCCTAATTCAATATAAGAGGAGGACTTAATCAGAATAACGTACAAGCAAAACAACATATGGCAAGACATTAACATGGACGAATTCACAAATAGCTGTAGAATCAGCACTATTCTATCTAGGGGTAGAGCTAGGGACAACTGCCGGCACGTGGTTCTGTCCGTCACCCCAACACTTCGGAACAGCATCATACACAGTAGACATATTTCCTTATCATGGGCTAACATCAAGGTGGATGACTACATACCAATCTTGAGGTGCTTCCGCTGCTGCGGATTTAATCACCAGGCAAAGGACTGCACAGAAGATGAAACACGATGCAGTCAATGTTCCAAAGCACACAAGTATGATGACTGCACCAAACGCCATAAAACTCCCTGTTGCATTAATTGCGACAGATTTAACAGAGAACAACCACCAAGTAAGAAGGTCCCCACCAATCATAACGCTTTCAGCCAACAATGCACGATTCTACAGAGGCTAAAATCGCAAAGGATCAAGCAAACTGACTATGGCGTGTAACCTTACAAACATCAACAAGCAGTCCACCACTCCCATTACGCCTCAAACTACTACTCATGGCAACAATCCAACCGTGCACCACAAATTTCAGTTAAATCTTTTAACCATTAACACGCAGAAGTCTAAAGCGGCATCCTCGTTTGTCCTAAAAATGGCCGAGGACCACAAAGCGGATTTGGTCCTAATCCAGGAGCCATACTTGGTGAACAACTCCATCGTTCGCTTTGGCAAATGGAGGGTATTCTCCAACCAGGATAATGATAACACTACCAAAACTGGCATCCTTGTGTGCAATAACAATCTGAAGGTTAACTATTGCCCAAACTTAAGCACAGATTACATTACAACGGTTGTTTTAACGCACCACAACAAGAATCTCTACATCTCGTCCACCTACTGCTCCCCTAATGAAGACATCCAACAACTACTAGAAGACATAGAGAGCATAAACAACGACATCAGCGGCCTCCCATGGATCGTTAGCGGCGATTTCAACGCCAAATCTCCAACCTGGCACAGTCCAGAGGAGGACCCCAGGGGTTTTAAGGTCTGTGAGCTAATGTCTAGGTGCAACCTCGTGTCTTGTAACACGAGTCTACTTCCTACATACTTCTGTACTCGGGGCGAAAGTTGGGTGGACCTCTGTCTTGCCAATACCAAAGCCCAGAAATACATCTCTTACTGCAGCACCTTAGAAGAAAATGCTGCAAGTGATCACCGGTATATTAAGACGATCTACATCACCGACGATCCTCAAAATATTAACAACAACAACGACTATAACAATGTAAGCAAGACGAATTGGCCACATTTCCAGGACCAGTTCAAGATCAACTGGGCTACTCCGAAAGGCCAGATTCTTTCTAACATTACTAACGCTGAGGACCTCGCCACCCACCTAGCCTCTTCAATTCTTACCTCCTATCACCAGTCCACAAAGACTATCCCGATTGGAAAAAAGCATGCTCCATGGTGGAACGACTCACTGAACAAGCAAAGGCACACCGTACGCCACTTATATAGGAGCTTCAGAAAAGAAAACGACCCTGAAGTCAAGGAAGGCAAAAAACGGAGCTACCTTAAGCAGTTCAATGAGTACAAAACTAACATCAACAAAGCCCGTACCGAGGCATGGAAAGTCTACTGTACTAAGGTGGGTAATAATAAAACTTGGAGCGACCCATACAACATAATTTTAAAACCGCGGAGGGCCACTAACATTCCGGCCACTATCAGCAAAGAGGATGGCTCCCAGACTACTGGGATTATAGACACCTATCACCACCTGCTTAAGGTCCACTTCCCTACGGACAATCATGGGGATGATAATGAGGAGCAATCTGCGATTAGAAATAGTGTTAAAGATCCTCCAGACACTACCAATGATACTCTTTTCACGTACGCAGAGGTTCAGAACGCCATCAAGTCTCTGCGGAACAAGAAGGCTCCTGGAGACGACAAAATTACACCCGTAATGGTGAAGAAGGCATTTGACGCGATCCCAACAGCCTTCGTATACACCTTCAATAAGTGTCTTGAGCAGCATGTTTTTCCCAAATGCTGGAAAAACGCAATCGTCAAATTCATTCCTAAGATCACCAACAACAACCCAAACTCTGCTTCGGATTTCCGCCCCATCAGCCTCCTCCCCGTTTTGGGGAAGGTCTTGGACGGCCTCGTTATAGGCCGCATCAACTTTCATCTGTATAGTAACGATTTAATGCAGCACAACCAATTCGGCTTTGTAAAGAACAGGTCAACATACCACGCTCTGTATAATACCACTCAGTTTGTCACCAAAGCCTGGGACAAAGGTCACCACGCTCTCCTTGTCGCAATTGACTACAAGAACGCTTTCAATACCCTTTGGTGGCCAGCCCTTCTGCATCAGCTCAAACAGTTCAAGTGTCCGAGTAACCTTTACCGCATCCTCCAAGACTACCTGAGGGATAGGACTGTCACGATAAACGACCTCAGGAACAACATCACCCATAGCATGACCCTGGGTTGTCCTCAGGGCTCTTGTTCTGGCCCAGGCCTATGGAACATTATGTTTGACGGCCTGCTCAAAATTGCTCCGCCTAATATCTCAGCCAACTGGACCATTCAGGGGTATGCAGACGATACCCTGGCCATGCTGGCAGGCAACAACAGCGAGAAACTACAGCACGAGGCGGACAAACTCATCAACGAAATTGCGAGATGGAGTGGTCAGAACAGGCTGACGATCAACGTAAGAAAGTCAGCATGCATGTTAATGTCGAAGGGACGGCAACTCGCCAAACCTCCTTCCATAAAAATCAATGGGGTACGTATTCCACACACTAAAGAGCTAAAGTACTTGGGCTTGATCATTGATCAAGGGATGAAGTGGAATCAGCATATTGACTATGCTTGCGCTAAGGCCATCAAGCAAGCTAACCTCCTGTGTTATTTAGCAGGGAAGGACTGGGGCATCGGCAGGAATAATCTTATCAACATCTACAGGCAGGCAATCGAGCCAACGGTGCTCTACGGCGCCCCGATTTGGGGTAACGCTGCCTCTAGGGCACACATAAAACGTGCCCTCCAGAAGGTGCAGCGGATCTGCCTCTTACGTATTACTGGGGCTTACAAGACGGCCCTTACGGCCGCCCTCCAGGTCCTAGCCGGTATCCCCCCGCTATTCCTAAAGGCCATGGCAAACATGGCATCCTGGAAGCTGACTCATCTACCGACCTCTGATAGCAAGAAGAAAGAGCTTATTAACTATTTGAACATTGGTCTTCTCCCTAACCTGAACATAGACAATCTGTGCCACCCCACCGATTTTGTTTCTCACCCTGCTGTTTCCATCAACTTCCACCCTGCCCACTACCCTCACTTCAATATTGATATCAACATGGATGTGCCTGCGCCCAACTACATCATTTTCACTGATGGCTCCAGCTCCAGCTCGGGCACGGGGGCAGGGCTGGTCCTCTACGACAACAAGAAAGGCCGAGCAATTCACTCGGCTAACTTTCGCCTAGCGCCCTTCTGCTCTGTCATGCAGGCTGAACTTTTTGCTATTTATCAGGCCCTCTGCTACGTCAATAATAATAGGAGTCTGGACAATAATCGCATTACCATTTGTACCGACAGCAGAGCGGCCCTTCATGGCATTGCCAGGGGCAGCCTTGGCGGTAAACTCCACGCTCTGATAATCAAAGAAATCACAAAGTGCAACAGGACCATCATTGACTTCAAATGGACCCGGGCCCACTCTGGTGTCCCCGGTAACGAGGAAGCCGATAGGTTGGCTAAAGAAGCCACCCTCGGCACATCTGACATTGTGTTTAGTGATATTCCGCTGGTGGCCACCAAAAAACTTGTATGGAACACCATGATCCAAATGTGGCAGCGCGAATGGGAGGAAGCAAGTACAGGTAGAAATACCTTTGGCTTCTTCCCAAACATCACCCAACGCCTGAACTTAAACCACGTACTCAGTGACTTCATCACGAGTCAGCTGTTCACCGGACACGGCAACTTTCGGGCCTACCTACACAGGTTCGGCCACGAGGTCTCCCCGGACTGCCAATGTGAAGAAGACCAACCGCAGGACAATCTCCATCTAATTTTCCAGTGCAGCCGCTTCGATGAACAGCGATCAAAACTCCTTCAAGAGACCCTCAAGATCAGTCACAGATGGCCATGCAACCCGACGACTTTGGTCAACAACAAGAAGATCTACAGCGAGCTGACGTCTTTCGTTAAAGCGACAGGTGTACTAGACGTAAGGAACAGGAACAGCTAGCAGTATACTATACTGTGTGTGTCGGCATCGTACCTGGACTTTCGCATCCTACTTGCTGTATCACTGCTGACTATCTGTTATTTTGTATAGCATCTTGACTACCTGTCGCGCTTACTGGATGTATGTTTGTATGGTAAGTTATTCGGCTCTGCATCGGCATTCAGCCGTGTTTAGGTCCCGTGTTGGGTACCCTTAGCCGCTCATCTCTAATCTTGTATATATTCTCTGTAATTGTTTTTACTGTATTTTATTATTGGTTTAATAAACGGAACTCGGTGCGGCTCATGACCTCCCACTTCCTCTTCTACCTTCTCTTTACCCTGCCTACTTCATCCACCTTTCGGCCCCTGCCAAATCCCTTTACCTAACGTCTAACTCCTTCTCACTTCTTTTCATTACAAGAGGATATACCAATGAGTAACGCCTCCCTATCCCCATTCAATAGAGATGTCTATAGAAAAGAGGGCGACGAGTCGCGGTAGTGTTTGGTCGTGTGGTGCATCAGCTCCGGCTTTCGATCGTCCCATCGGCGGATCCAAGGTTTAATCGTCGGAGTGTTATACATCGCTGGAATCTGGATAACGTGAGCTATCGATTGATATATAATTTATTTAAATCGGTCCACGCGTTAAGTAGTTACGGGCCTCGGAACTTTCCGGTTTTCCGCCGTCTGTTTCCGGGACGCTTTTGACTGTACGTGGAATCTTTCCAGCGTGTATTATTCAGGCTTCTACGCTCTTTCGAACGGCGTCTTACTTTTTAAATTCCGTTCGGCCGTTCTCGATTTTTCACGACTTATCTATTTCGCATATCGGGCCGTTTTGCGGGCTTGTCGGGCCACCGATCTCTCCCATTTCTGGGTGTTTCTTTGGCCGTCACTTTACCTACGTGCTCCGTGATTTTAGTTAAGTTACGTATAATATTCTAGCTGTTATGGGCAATCTTAGATTTAAGCAGCACAAAGGACGTATAGGTCATTGACCCGAGCACGTGGTCGGCGCTATTCCCCTATCTGACCCTAATTCGGGTCACTCTTTTTCTGTTTTCTCGGGCCTCGCTTGGGTTATCTCCAAGTGTAGCGTACCGTTCGACGCGTCTTTAATTCCTCTATCTGCCGCTGTGGTCAAGCCCGCGGGCCGTCTTGCGGGCCTTCCGTTTTCCGTTATTAGGGTTTCGCGAGCCTTAATATATAGTGTTTTACTTCATTCGAACTGTATAATAATTAAGTATAGTGCTCTTACCACTCCTGACCAAAATGGGAGATCCGGATTCAGACCTCGAATATACAGACATAGAATGTGAGGCAATCTCTACGCAAGGTTCTCCATCACGGTATAGACCGGCCGACGAGAACTTCACAATGCTAGAAGCAAGGCTACTAGCAGAATCAAATGAACAGCTCCAACGCATCATGGAACTCCTCCCTTTGCCCAGCAAATGTAACCCTTCTGTCCCTGAAAAAAGGGAGATAAAGGAATGTGTGACAGCAATGTTTGCAACAATCAACAAGCTCTACGGAAGCCTTGTGGAGCTAAGAGCATCCAAGTCTAGTCCACCCACCATTCAGTGCAACTGCCAGTGCCAACAGCTCCAACACAGGCCAGCCCCCTCTTACTCAGACATCGTAAAAAACAACAATCTGCAAAGCTCAACAACCAGATCTATCTCAAGATCTATCAACAATAAAATCAAAAATGAAGGCTGCAGTAGTAGCTACGCCTTAATAGTTTATCCAAAAGACACCAGTGGAGGAAACACCGACATGAAAAAGATCCAGGAAAACATTATACAAGACGTCAAACCAGATATGCTGAAAATCAAGGTAACAGCAATCAAGCAGGTTAAGGGAGACGGGATCTGCTTCCGTACGAGTGGCAAGAGAGACGCCACCGTTCTTGAGCAGGCGATACAAGGGCTCCCTGAGGTGCAACCTCTGATTAGAACAAAGCTATCCGAAGGTAGGCGCCCCAGGGTAATCCTACTAAATGTACCCTACTCGGTGGAAGAAGAACAAATCATAAACACACTCTATGAACAAAATGAATACCTCCACAACATTAGCAAGGGAGACTTCATGGAATCCACTAAGATCAGCACTGCCCTCACAAGAGGGAATACCAAGGAAAATTGCCGCCACATCGTGCTGACCACGACACCAAACATCCGGAGCCAACTAATCAAAGAAAAACACATTTCAATTTCCTGGGCCAACGTGCTGATAGACGATTACGTCCATCTAACCCGCTGCTACCAATGCTGCGGATTCAATCACCTGGCGAGAGACTGTCCTTCAAAACAATCCTGCAGCCACTGCGCAAAAACCCATAGATACAGCGAGTGCACCCGGAGGGAGCAGCCCCCCTGCTGCATCACCTGCAAAACAGCAAACAAGGGTCTTGCCCCGGAAAAAAGGCAACCGACGAATCACAACGCTCTGGACCCCAAATGCCCGCATACCTCAAGAATAAGGGAGCAATTAATCAAACAAACTAACTATGGGTACTAGTCCTCCCTTACATCACCTCAAGCTGCTACAGATAAACTTACAGCGCTCAAAGGCAGCCGCCACGGAAGCAATGCACATGGTGAACAATCACCATACTGACATACTGATTATTCAAGAACCCTACTGCTTCAACAGGAAAATTGCCCTTTTTGGCAATCTCAACATCTTTGCGCACTCCAGCACGTCGGAAAACCCCCAAACGGGGATAATAATGACCAACAAGAATATTAATGCTCACCAGTTAACACAACATACCTGCAGGAACTTCACAACTGTCATCATTAAGATCAACACCGTCTCACTGGCCATCATTTCCTTCTATTGTGCACCCTCTGAGGACATTACTCAACCACTGGAAGAGCTTCACAACACTATCCAGCAACTGCAGGGGATCCCTCTTTTAGTGGCCGGGGACTTTAACGCAAAGTCCCAGGTCTGGTACAGTCCGATCGAAGATCCCAGGGGTTACGAAGTCATCGAGTTCATGAACAGCCTTGACCTTCAATCCATGAACACCAGCAAGCTGGCTACCTACTCTTCCTCTACAGGGGAGAGCTGGGTAGACATCTGCCTTGCGAACCGTTCCCTCATAGCTACAGGTATCCAATGTAGTACTATCATCACACACTCGGCCAGTGACCACCGCTACATTGAGACGACAGTGAACATCAACGAAGTAGACAAGTACTACTGCATAAGGAGGAAAACACATTGGAATAAGTTCCAGGACTACTTGAAGGAAAATTGGAACACTAATCCGCTGGTGCACATGGAAACCACCGACCTAGAGGAGACAATCGACAACCTACAGAAGCTGATCCTAGAGGCCTTCCAATACTCCACAAAAACTTACAAAACCCGTCAATCGGCTCCATGGTGGAATAGTGAACTGTCGGCACAACGGCGCAACCTAAGGAAACTCAGGAGACGCTTTAGGCGGGAGCCAGACCAGGACAGGCGGGAAGGCTATCGGCAAGAGTACATCACGCTCTTCCGCGACTATAAAACCTCTATATGCAAAGCAAGGACGGAATCCTGGAAGACGTTCTGCTCCGACCAAGGTAGGCGGAACCCTTGGTCTACACCGTACTACATCGCTAGAGGGAAGGCCAAAAACTCTAAAATTCCCAACAACTTTAACGACACCATTACTGACCCCGCCACCTCGATTGAGGATACTTACAAGCAGATTATTAATGACCTCTTCCCGGAAGATGACCCATCCACAGACGACATGACGCATAAGGAAATAAGGATGCTCAGCCAAATTGCTCCCAACACCGCGGACGACAGCCTCTTTACAAACCAAGAAATTGCCAATGAATTTCACAGGCTCAACCTCCGTAAGGCTCCGGGTGTCGACGGCATTACCCCTAAAATGGCTAGGATGGCCTACGAGGCTATCCCAACCACATTCAGTGCCATTTACAACAAGTGTCTCCAAAAAGCTTATTTTCCTAAGATTTGGAAAATCGCTTCTATAAAGCTTATTCCAAAGAACAACTATCCATCGAATTCAACCGACTACAGGCCTATCTCCCTGCTCCCGATTATGGGGAAAATTCTGGATGGACTAATGGCCAACAGACTTGTCTACCATTGTGAAAGCACGAACTATCTCAATGACAAGCAGTACGGTTTCCGGAAAGGGAGAAACACAATCATGGCCCTAGACGACATTGTCAAGACAATTACGGATGCCAGGGACAGAGGCGAACACACCATGGTGGTCTCCATTGACTTTAAAGGCGCATTCGACCACGCTTGGTGGCCCGCCATCCTCCTGAGCATCAGGGACTCGCTCTGCCCAAAAAACATCTATAACCTTGCTAGGAACTATCTGAACAACAGAAGGATAATCGTGACTAACAACAACCAAACTCTTCTGCAGAAGAATATTAACAGAGGGTGCCCCCAAGGTTCCAGAGTGGGTCCATTTCTCTGGAACACTATGTACAATAGCCTCCTCACCTTAAGCACGGCTTTCCCGGGAGACGGAAACAGCAGTTTACAGGGGTACGCGGACGACACGGTCCTCGCGCTATCCCACAAGAACCAGGAAGTCCTGCAAGCCAGGGCAAATGATATCTTGCGGGTCATCACCGACTGGAGCTGCAAAATGAAGCTCAAAATCAACTACAACAAATGCTGCTGCGTGGTGTTTCCTAAGACAACTCCACTGCAAAAAGGGCCTACGGTGAAAATGGACGGGCACAGGATTAAAAACAGTGACAGGCTTCAGTACCTTGGGGTAATCCTAGACAACCGCCTTACATGGAAACACCAGGTTCACCATGCCTACGAAAAGGCAATCACTGTGATGCACTCCTTAGCCTCCATAGCCCGGAACCACTGGGGCTATGGGAGCGCTGCCTGCTGTCTCATGTACATTGCCGTCCTCGAGCCCATCTTGACTTATGGGGCGGAGGTCTGGGGGCCGTCAATTTCTAAGGTGCATATCAAAAGGAAACTCTTGTCAGCACAGAGGCTTGCCCTCATTGCAATTACAAAAGCTTACAAGACCGCCCCCACCGACGCTCTCATGGCTATTGCCAATCTGATCCCCATCGACCAGATTATTAAAGAAAAGGTATGGACGCACCAACAACTTAAGCTGGCTAAGGGCATCATCAAGACCGAGGATTTTAATAGGGCCATGAGGCATCTTACTGACGGCAACACAATTAACCACATTACGGACCATCTACAGAACTTCAAACTCGACCTTAACAACCATCCCATCCTCTACCACCCCGGGACCTCTCTGGAAGAGTTATTTTCTCTGGAGGGCCCCCACGACAACAATGGCTTCATCGCTTTCACCGATGGTTCTAAGTCTGAGGAAGGGGTAGGCTGCGCCTTCGTCGTTTACCACAACACCAAGTGTATTCATCAGGCTCGCTTTAAATTGGCAACCCATTGCACTGCAAACCAGGCCGAGTCCCTGGCAATCTGCAAAACCCTACATTGGATCAACAACAACAAGGCTGCTCACAAGATCAAAGACATCAAGATTTTCAGTGACAGCAGAGTAGCCCTTCTGCAGTTGAAAAATCGTAATGTCAAACATACCATCATCCAAGAAAGCGTCCATCTACTCCTCAACATTAAGGAGACCGTCAACATCAAGCTCTCCTGGGTACGCGGCCACTCTGGTATCCAGGGGAACGAGAGGGCCGACCTGTTGGCCCGCTCAGCCCCCGCCTGGAACGGCACCTGCGCCTTCAGGCTCACACCACTCGTCTGGGTGAAGAACGTTATCAGGGACAGCTTTTGGGTTACGTGGCAAAACAATTGGAGCAAAAGCACCACAGGAAGAACTACCTTCGATTTTATCCCAGATGTCCGACACAGGAAAAACTGCAAACACTTTATAACCAACTACTGTGTCACCCAACTTCTGACAGGGCACGGAAACTTTCGTAGTTATCTTAAGAGATTCCACCACAAAACAGACGGAAAGTGCCCCTGCGACCTAAATGAAGACGACGACCCAGCCCACATTCTTTGGAGTTGCCCACTCTACAGCACCCAAAGGAAACACCTTATCAACAGAATCAATGACAACGGTGACATCTGGCCATGCCACAACAAACTGTTAATTAACAATAAGCACTACTACAAAGTGTTCAAGAACTTTGCTAACAGCATAAAAATACTGGACTAGCTCATTTCTAAACCTACTCGCGCATGTTCATCCAATAACTGTACGTGCGGCATCAACTATGTTACTCTTCCTGTATCCACGTGATCCTCATGTAAATAGCGCGTTTTTCTCTGTTATCGGCCTAACCAACTTTATGTAATCCACCTTGTCTCAACTGCAACTGTCATTAATGTATCGCGCATTTGTTTAATGTCTTCATTGTCATCAACATGTACAATTTGGTTAACTAACTGTCGCGTCATATATCTTATGTATGCATATCTGTTTATCTGTATAACTGTATAATGATTGTAATTTCTTTTGTCAATAAATGCCGATGCAAGACGCCCATGGATCCCTAACCCTCTTTACACTTTCCGATCCCACTACTTTTCACCTTCTCACTCTCCCCCCTTCATACACCTTTCCCTAATTTTTCCTTTTCCGGTTTCGGGGCTATACCTTTGAGTGCGGCCTGTCACCATTTCCTAACAGTGTCTATAGAAACAGATAGAGGAAATTGAGCTGTCCTCTCCGCCGTTTACGGTGCTAAAATCGGACTTGTAGTTTTCGATTTATTGTGTCCTAAACTTTCTGTATATCGGGCCGCCGTGCGGGCTTGTCGGGCCACCGGGACTTATCATACTCGGGTGTCTCTCTGTCCGGACTAATATCTATACGTGTAGCAATTCTCATTCCGTTACACTAATTTGTCTATAAGTTATGAACATTCTAAAATTTTTGGAGAACAAAGGGTGAAAGGTCGCTGACCTCGCCACGTGGTTACATCCTAACGGACCCTAATACGGAGTGTGTTTCGTCGTGTTTCCCGTGCTCCGTGTGGTGTATATTGACTGTTGATATATCAATCAACTCATATTTATTTTCTGGTTCCTCCTACATCATCGCTTTAATATTATTTTAATATGGCGGAAATTAATAACGATATTACTGAGCCGAACGAAAGTTTTGCTGAGGAAGATCTAATTAGTACTATCAATGCACAATTGGAAGTTATTTTTAACAATATACCAACCAACTCTAACATTTCTGTAAAATCAAAGGAGAGAGCAGCAGTCAAAGAGGCTGCCGTTAAAATGCACGCGGCAGCCAATCAAATATTTGGAGTTGTATTAGAACTTAGAGAAAGGGTTAAGGCGTTGGCTAACCCTAGTGTTCAGCTAGGAAAGGCTACCTACGCTAATGCTGTGAAGCATAATCATGGCTACGTAAGCAGCACTACCAAACTTATAGCTAAGAAGTCTGTGGCTCTGGAGGGAATAAAAAACCCCAGTGCCAATAACCATGAATTGATAGTTTCGGCCATCAAACAACCAGATCAACCAGTACCCATCCCCGAAGAAACCCTTGACCTGCTACAATGTCATGTGAACCCTAAAAGACTAGGAATAAAAATCAAGGCAATAAGACCATTACCAGAGGGAGATCTTAAAATACTGGTACAAGATGAGCAGGATCTGTGTGCCCTAAAAAAGGCAGTACAGGCAGAAAATGCCTTAGTGGACAAAATAAAGGTCGTGGAAAAGAAGAAACGATACCCGAAAATAATACTTTTTAATGTCCCAGATGACATAGTGGAAGAAGACCTGATCAATGACCTATACGACCAAAACACATACCTACAAACTGTTATCAACGAGGAGCAATTTATCAGTACCACAAAAATCTCACACAGATTTAATTCAAGGAACAATAAGAATCAGAGGCACATTATAATTAGCGTCAGGCCGAACATTAGAAATATATTAATGCAACATAGGAGACTATACATAGGGTGGAGCTCTGTCTACATAGATGATTACATTGACATAATCAGGTGTTTTAACTGTGCGGGCTTCGGCCATACCTCAAATAGATGTACGGAAAAGCAGAGATGTACGCATTGTACCAAAAAACATAAGTTCAGAGAGTGTACCAATCTAGAGGAAGACCCAATATGCGCAAACTGTAAAAAGCACAATAGAAACGTCCCTGAAGATAGAGCAATGCCGACCGATCATAACGCCTTTGACAAGGACTGCCCCATATTGCAACGTTATAAGATCAATATAATTAAATCCATTCAATATGAGTAATAGGCCAACAGTTCAGTCTCCTTCTGCGCATCCCCCTGCAATGGGTGACCGTACTAACCATACCTTACTGGATAGCCTCAATATTCTCCAGATAAACTTACAAAGGTCGAAGGCTGCTTCGTCAGAGGCCTTACAGATGGCCCTGGATCGTAAGATCGATATTATGGCTATTCAGGAACCCTACGTTGTGAACGGTAGGGTTGCACTGTTGGGTCCTGGACGGGTTCTGGCCCACACCTGCGACGATCAGATGATCAAGGCTGGGTTGGTCATTTACAATCCGACTATCATGGCCCAAATGATGACGCAGTTCACCAATAATTATTACACTACAATCAGTGTTAACACTCCAAACGGACCAATGTATATTATCTCTTTCTACTGCTCCCCAGAAGAGGACCTGTGCCGCCCACTTGAACTATTGAGTGACGTCATCAGTAGCCTCAATGGTAAACCTATCATCATAATGGGTGACTTCAACGCCAAAGCACATCTTTGGCACAGCCCCGTGGAAGACCCAAGGGGCTTCCTGGTCTGTGAACTAATGGCTATGCACGATCTTACCTCACTTAATGACAGCCCTATCCCCACCTTCTCCTCCACCAACGGGAAGAGCTGGGTGGATATCTGTCTTGGGAACACTAATCTCCTCAGGTACAACATTGAATGTAATACTGTTGATATTACCTCCGCAAGCGACCACAACTACATTCAGACTACTATTAGTGGAAACAAAGTTACCAAGAACTACAGGATTACTAACATTACCAATTGGGATCTGTTTCATGAACAACTTACCAACCTCTGGAACCCGCCCCCGCTCACACAAATCAATGATAAGGAGGAACTGGATAAAATCATCAACGACCTCACGAGGACCATTCACCTGGCTACTTACAACTCCACCACCATAAAAGTGAAGAGAGTGAATGCGCCATGGTGGGACTATAACTTGGAAAAGCTGAGAAGGGAGGTAAGGAAGCACAAGAGGCAGTTTAGGAGAGAGGAGGACCCGGATCTGAAAGCACAAAAAAAGGTGAAATACATGGAACACTACAAAAGGTATAAAATGCAAATAAATGCCTCCAGGACACACTCGTGGAGGGAATTCTGTACCAACAGCTGTGGGGGCAACCCCTGGTCTGTCCCTTACTACATTGCGAGAAGGAAGGGCAAAGCCAGCTGTGTCCCCCCCACTATTGACGATGGTAATGGATCATTTACGACCTCTCTGGAGGACACCTGTCATCATATCTTCAATGTGCTATTCCCTCAGGATAACCCACTAGAAGACACGACACACCATCAGAGTATTAGAGATAGTGTTTTAAACTATAAGGGCAACCACAACGATAGCCTCTTCACCACAGCTGAGCTCTGGAGGGAGACTAAAAATATCGGAAGGAATAAGGCCCCTGGTCCCGACTTCATTACCTGGAGACGGCCAAGGAGGCGATAAATGAGTTACCTACAACCTTCCTTGTGATCTATAATAAATGTCTAGAGTTGGGTCATTTTCCTACTCCCTGGAAACAAGCCTCGGTGAAATTGATATCCAAACATCAGGAAAATAGTAACCTGACTCCCTCTGACTTCCGCCCCATCTCCCTACTCTCCTTTTTTGGTAAAGTTCTTGACGCCCTTATAATTAACAGGATCAGTTATCATCTTGACAGGTCCAACTTCATGCACCCCCTACAGTTTGGATTCAGGAGGGGGAAAAATACTGTTAGTGCGTTGGACAACCTACTGGATTATATAAATAATGCTAAAAAGAATGGCCGCCATACTCTCTTGGTGGCTGTGGACTTTAAGGGAGCTTTCGACCACGCCTGGTGGCCGGAGATCCTCAATCAATTAGGGAAAGCCAACTGCCCTGACAACCTTTACAGGATGGTAAGTAGCTATCTTGATAATAGAAAAGTGAACTACTACTACAGGGATAAGCTAATCTATACCAGGCACGTCAACAGGGGTTGCCCGCAAGGGTCAAAGTCGGGACCATTACTTTGGAACCTGCTGTATAATGAGCTTCTCAGTCTACAAAACAATAGGCCACTGCACACAATGATCCAGGGCTACGCGGATGACACGATCATTGTGATGTCACACCCTAACCAGGAGAAATTACAACATGATATGCAGGATCTGTTGACCGATGTCTACAATTGGAGTAATAAGGTCAAACTCGTAATCAATATTGCTAAATGCGAATGTACTATATTCCCTAAAGGCAACCCCCTGTCAAAGCCACCTTCTGTTAAAATCATGGGACAGAAGATCCGCTACTCTACCTCCATCAAATACCTCGGACTGACTATTGACCATAAATTAACGTGGAAAAATCACATTTACAACATGTACGACAAGGCGGTGGAGACCTCTTTTGCCCTGGCCACCATTGCCAGGAATAAATGGGGTTTGGACTACAAAGCAAGGAGGATCACCTACATCGCCGTCACCCAACAGATTGTGGCTTATGGGTGCGAAGTCTGGGGACGGAGGGTGGAAAACAAGCATATTAAGAGGAAACTCCTCTCCATCCAGAGGTTGGCGGCCATTTACATTACCAGGGCATACAGGACTGCTCCCACTGATGGGCTCCTGGTAATTGCTAATCTCAAGCCTATTGACCTCTTTATAGCTGAGCGCTACATCCTCCACAATATGAAAAGACTGAATGCTAAAGATATAAACAAAGATCTTTACGATCATAATCTTGCACCCTTCAAGAAAACCGGCACTTTAAATAATCTTACCAATATCGTGAGTGATAAGGGAATTGACTGTACTATACCTACTTTCTCTCACCCTGCACATAATAATAAGTACGAAATTAGAATGAACTCTCCCTATGTTAATGGTAACAACATAAATATCTACACGGACGGCTCCCACTCAGAGATGGGTATGGGTGGCGCCTTCATCGTCCATTCCCCGACCAAAAGGACTATTCATCAATGTTATTTTAGACTTGCTAATTATTGCTCCAATAATCAAGCTGAGTCCTTGGCCATCCTAAGGGCGTTGAACTACTTCAACTCTATGTTTGATGTTCTCAGGGATCAGCGTATTATTATCAACACTGACAGCAGAGTTACACTGTATCAAATTGATAACAGGAATACCAAACTCCCCATAATTAATGACATTGTTGCCGCACTTGATAATACCCCCTACTCCACCATTGTTCTCAATTGGATCAAAGGACACTCGGGCATCCGGGGCAATGTTCAGGCTGACTTGCTCGCAAAGAAAGCTATCACCAACCTGGATAGACTCTCCTATACTAAGATCCCAATTAGCTGGATCAAAAGTAATATCCAACATTACACCAATGACTGCTGGCAATCGAGGTGGTCTAACAGTGAGACCGGTCGCTCTGTGTACAGCTTCTTCCCATCCATCATGGAAAGAGGGAAGAACCACCACTTCGTCCCGCACTATGAACTTACCCAACTCATGACTGGTCATGGTAACTTGGGTAGTTACTTGGCCCGTTTCCTCAACAAGGATGATGGCCGGTGCACCTGCCATTCTGCCGACTGGATGGACAGTGAGCATATTCTGTTCCACTGCTCCCACTTTAACAACGCAAGGAGGGGCCTAATCGCTGCAGCCCTGAGCGAGAACATTGCGTGGCCATGCAAACCGGATGTGATCGTTAGCTGTAAGAACCTTTTCAATGCGCTGACTACCTTCAGCAAGAACATCAAAATCCTCAGCTAAACCTCACTGCTCCAACCTTCAAGCCTTGTGCACCACTTCCTGCAGGGACTGCCTCTCCCATCATCTAACTGTATCAACCAACAACTTGCCAATCTGTTCGCTCTGTTTTACCTTTTGGGACCTAATGTATGTTGTATATCTGTTACTACCACTGATGGTCCCAGTGGTCTTCTGTTTCTATTTTAGCTCTAATGTAATATATCTAATCATTTGATATTTGTCGGGATTATTATTGTATTTGGTATGTTGCCTATATTCTGTAACCTTTTAACGTCTAATAAACGGAACCCGTGCAGGACCTCATAGATCCCCTTCCCCTTCTCACTTCCTTCCACTCTCTCTTTCAATCCCCCTCCCCCCCTCCTACTCTCTCCCCCTTTCGGCAGGCTATGCTATCCAGCTTCGGCCTTTCCTTCCTTTACGTGTCTATAGAAACAAGACGGCGTCCAGACGACGAAGATAAAGGTTGTGGAAAATCTGCTCTCTTAAAAACTGGAAATTTGACTACCGGAAATAAGGGTCCTAATTAACAATGGAGTGCACCTTTGGATAGAGCTCGAAAAGTAGGTTAATTTGATATATAACTTGTCAGGGTTCGACTATTAGAAAGGGAGTTAGAAGGGTTCAAATCCGGGAAATTAGATTTATAGCGGGGGGGATAACTTAAGATAGGGGGGCGGAAACTGGGTGCGACGTAGGGATAAGTTAGGGGAGCCTAGTGTGTCATTTTGGTAAGGCTGGGGTCATTAGTTTTTAAATTACGTTAATTCTAGTTTTGTGCATATCTAATTAGTTCCCTTAACGGCTTCTAACTGTCGTTAATGTTAATCCCCATAGCCAACGGTCATTCGCAACGACTTTTCTTTAAAAATTTATCGATTTCCGACGTTAATATCGCCAGATGTTCAACTTTTTCAAAAACCAGATGGCCGTCTAGACAGTCCAGACGCTAATTCCAGACAGCATTGTTATACTCTAGACGGGACAGGTGGTCTGATTATACTTAAAAACAGGTGACCGATAGTTTAATAGGCTTTATAGCTATCGGTTAGGATTAATTAAGAGATAATTTTTCTGGTTATGGTTACCTTTTGATTGACAGATTAAATAAAAATTAATATGGTTAATAGCTTAATAGGCAAAACAGCTATCGGTTCGGCTTAAATATAAGTTATTTTTCTGGTTGTGGTTACTTATTTGATTGACAGATTAATTAAATTATTATTAGTTTTTCTTTTACAGGATTGCTGAATTAAGTATTTTGGTTTACCTTATACTTATATAGTTTTAGCTATGTTTTTCGCACTGTTCTTCTGAGTGAGTTAATTGCTTAGACTGACAGTGTTGCTGGCACCGTGCCACACTATACACAATAAACACTCTTCTAATAGTTATTTTGTATTTCTTATTATATAATGGAGGGAATGGATGATAGCATAGAACAGCCAACGGACGACATACAAGAAAGTGTGAGCGACATAACGGTCAATTATTTTAACACTGTGACAACAGAGTATGCTGAAGACAAAATATTAAAGAATGCAAAAGTTCAAATGAAGCAAATAATGGACTTATTGCCAGAACCATATAAATCTAATCTTAGAATTGAAGAACGAAGGGAAGTGAAGGACAGAATTGTCCAACTTTTTTCCGCTGTACAGCAAATGTACGGCATCCTTTCTGAGCTAAGAACAGAAAAGGAGGATCAAAACAGGATTCCTCTAAATATAATAGAAACATTAAATGAAATTAAAGCAAATACCCAACCAGGCAACTCAGGGAATAATCCCCAAAGCTACGCTGAAGTAGTAAGAGCTAACTTAACTCCACAAAAACTACAAAGCCAAAACACAAAAGATATAAACAAAAACAAAGAAATAGAGAACAGCAGTGCTGTATTAATCTATCCCATTAATGAGGAGGAAGAAATGACAACAAATATGGATACAATCCTGAGGAAAATAAAAGAGGAAATCCAACCAAAACAATTAAAAATAAAGGTCAAGGGTATCAAACCGGTTAAAGGAAATGGGCAATGTATCACAGTGGGGAGCAAGGAAGAAGGGGAAAGGCTTAAGACAGCAATTGAAGGGATAGAAGAGTTAGAAAATAAAATCAAATGTAAAATCTCGGGTAAAAGACAACCAAGAGTCATCTTACTGAATATTCCCAACTGTATTTCAGATAATGAAATTATTAAAACAATGATAAAACAAAACGATATCTGGAATAACACAGACGAATCCAAGGTCGAAGAAAACATCAGATTAACATCTAGTCTTAAGAGCAAAAAAGATGAAGATAAATATAGACATGTAGTGCTAACCGTTACCCCTGCAATCAGAAATTCTTTATTAAAAAGCAAGACAATAGCAATTTCATGGAGTATAATTAGAGTCGATGACTTTATACCAATACAGAGATGTTTTCAATGCTGCGGCTTTGGGCATTGGGCAAGAGATTGCAAAGAGCAACAGAAATGCAGCCATTGTATGAAAAGACACAGATACAACGAGTGTAATTTAAAGCATACAATACCATCATGTACTAACTGTAAAAAATTAAACAAAGAGTTGCCTCCAGACAAGAAACATTCAACCAATCATAATGCGTTTAGCAAAGATTGCCCAACATTACAAAAACTGAAGGCACAAATAATAAAACGAATAGATTATGGACAGTAATCTTTATCAAAACAAAACACAGTCAAAAACAACAAACAAAGGTCAGCAATTTAATCATACAAGGAAAACAACAAATTCAACGGATTTGAAAATTATTCAACTTAATGCCCAAAAAGCAAAAGCTCCAAGCTCCATCTTAGTACATAAAGCAAACGAACTTAATATAGACATCATTCTTATACAGGAGCCATACGCAGTAAATAAAGAAGTTGTATGCCTAGGGAACTGGAAATTATTGTACAAGAAAGGTAACAACATCCCGAAAAGTTGCATAGGTGTAAGAAATGACAATTTAGATATTGCCCTTATCCCAAGTCTATCAGATGATATTATAACAACAGCAGTGTTGCACTGTGATCAGGACATTTTCATAATCAATGCTTACTTATCACCATATATGAAAGATGAGAAAGGGGTGGAAGAAATAAGTAAAATTTTAAGAAAGTTAAACACAAAAAATATAATAGTTGCCGGGGATATCAACGCCAAGTCGGCGATTTGGTATAATGAAATAGAGGACAATAGGGGACGATTGATAGCTGATATGATGGAAGAGCACGACTTGATATCGGTAAACATGTCTGATCATCCGACGTTTTTCACCACACGGGCTAAGGGATGGACAGATGTGTGTTTGGTTACTAGTGAATTAGCGCAAAGTGTAATAGACTGTGAAACTCTCCTAACTAATACAGCTAGTGATCATAGATTTATTATGACTCAAATCAACAGAGTGAGAACTGATATTAATTATGGCTATATTAGTTCAAAACATATAAACTGGGAGCTGTACAGGAAAACTTTTAATGAAATATGGTCAAACCACGATTACCCAAAAATTAAAAATGTCAATGATATAGATAACTATGTAAAAATCTTAACAACAGACATTCAACAAGCAAGAGATAGAGCAAGGAAAACAACAACACGGAAAGCAAAAAGAAGTACACACTGGTGGACGGAAGAGTTGGACAAACAAAGAAAGATGACAAATAAGATAAGGAAACGCTACCAGAGAAGTATAACAAACGAACAAAAACAAAAACTAAAGGAAGAATATAGAAAACAACTAAGAAACTACAAGAAATTGATAAACACAACAAGATCTAAAGCATGGAAGGAATTCTGTAACGAAAGTAATAATAGAGGACCATGGGAACTACCATATAACCTGGTAATAAGGAAGAAGAAAAACTCAAAATTCCAGACATTCTACAGGAAGCAAGAACATATGAAATAGAGAACAATCTAAAAGAAATACTTGACTTTCATTTTCCATTGGAAAATACGGTTAACGTAACAGGAAACAAAAATCCACAAAACACCACAGACAGTGATGGAAGACAAGCAAGGAATATTAAATTATTCACTTTCAATGAAATAAAAAACGCAATTTACACATTGAATAAGAATAAAGCACCAGGTTTAGACGAAATTACTGCGGAAATGTTGAGACATGCTTTCGATGAAATTCCCATTATTTTCGTAATTTTATTTAACGAATGCCTAAGACAGGGATATTTCCCCAAGGAATGGAAAAAGGCAAACATAAAATTTATCCCCAAAAAAGGGAACCCAATAACAGCAGCTGACTACAGACCGATTAGCTTGCTTCCAGCAATGAGCAAGGCTCTCGATGGTCTAATGATCAACAGAATAAATTGGGAATTAAATAAGACAGGAAAGATGCACGAAAATCAATTTGGATTCCGGGTTAATAAATCAACGGTACATGCGATTCTAAGTGTTAAGACCTTTGTCAACAAGGCATGGGAGCAAAAATGTCACGCACTTTTGATAAGTATTGACTACAGTAAGGCTTTTGACAATTTAAAATGGGACGACATTCTCCACACTCTAAAAGACCTTCAAGATTCAGACAATGAAACAAAACTATTAAGAAGCTATCTACAAGAAAGAACCATTGAATACCACACAAATACTATAAGCATTAAAAGACAGATAAACAAAGGGTGCCCACAGGGCTCACGTTGTGGGCCAGGACTTTGGAACTTAGTCTTTGATTCACTGCTCTACAAATTTGATGGAAGAAACAATATGAAGATACAGGCTTATGCGGACGACTTGTTCATCATGATAGCTAATAAAATCTGTGATCACCTAAATACAATAGGCAATGAAATATTAAGCGAGGTCCAAAACTGGAGTAAAGACAAATGTTTACCAATTAATTACAACAAATGTCAATACTTAGTCTGCACCCGTAAAAATAAACGTGGGCAGCTTCAAAAGACATTGAAACTACGGATGGAGGGAATTAAAATAAAGCAAGTCAAGGCACTGAAATATTTGGGTATAGTTATAGATCCAAACCTCAGCTGGCACCAACATATAATTGAAATTTCAAACAAAACTAAACAGAGAATAAATCAGTTAAACTACATAATGGGAAAATATTGGGGTCTTAATATGAAAAATAGTAAACTAATTTACAAATCTGCCATAGAACCTGCTATTCTTTATGCTATCCCGGCTTGGCATGAAGCTACTAATAATATCCATATAAAGAAAAAACTTCTATCGGTACAAAGACAAGCATTAATAAAAATAACAAAAGTGTATAGAACGGCGCCGACTGATGCCCTCTCGGTAATAGCAGGTTTAACCCCAATAAATATAACTGCAAAAGCATTAGCGTCGAAATGGATTATAATGAATCTAAACCTCCCAGCACTCACAGAAGATGATCTACAGAAGAAAATCAATGAAAAAATTATACCAGAAAACATAAGGGAACTAGCAGAAAACGTTAAAACAGTGCAAATAGACAAAAATGACAATACAATAAGTATAGAAATCCATCCGTCAGATAAGAACAACTATAACGTCAGCCTGGAATTTGAAACAATTAATAACCAAGAGTATCAATGGCTAGTGTTCACTGATGGCTCAAAACAACAGCATGGTGTTGGGGCTGGTATATTAATAAGAAAACAAGGCACAAAAGTAACAAAATACCAAGCCAGTCTTAAATTAGCAGATCACTGCTCCAACACGCAAGCAGAGATATGGGCAATATATAGTGCCATAAAACATATTAATGAAAACCAACATATTTACGAAGGTAATATTAAATTTTATGTAGACAGCAAAACTGCCCTACAAACGTTAAAGAAGGACAAAAACACTACGTTACTGGGAGCAGAAACAATCAGAGAAGCCCACAAGTTAGCTAAAACGAAATGTATACAATTCAGTTGGATTCCTGCACATAGAGGAGAAGAAGGCAACGAGAAAGCAGATTTTCTGGCCAAAAGGGCAAGCTCCAACAACAATATTACATATAATAGATTACCAAGTTCAGCACTTAACAGAATTCTAAAGGAATGGGAAATTAAAGCATGGCAAAAAGAATGGGATAACTCTGATACTGGCAGGCAATGTCACAAATACATCCCGTCAATAAAAAACAGGCTGCAAAACAAACACTTTAAAATTAATCATGAAACCACGCAAGTGTTAACAAATCATGGAAATTTTAAAGCTTATCTCTACCGTTTCAAAAAGACAAACACAAACACCTGTCAATGTGATAATGCCTCAGAAGGTGACGCAAACCACTTCACTTTCAGTTGTCAAAAATATGAACAGGAAAGATACGCATTCTATAGAGAATGTATAACAACTGGGATTGGTTGGATACCACACTTCCACGACATCTTCGATAATAAAGAAGTTTGGTGTACTTTTGAAAAATTCATCTTCCAAACGAAAGCTTTACTTCCTGACTTTCACAGACAAAGATTAACAGAAGATTCACAAAACACTACACAGAATAGTACACAAGTGGAAGTAGTAAGCTCAGACACATCAGAAAGAGGAAGGGACAACTCAAGTGAAGACATGAACAGCAACAGTGAAGACAGTGATATCTACTAGTATATATTGTAAATCTTGCAAATAGCAAGAATGATGTAATCAGTTTAACTGCATAATACTACTGGAAAGGTATGATTTTATCTAAAGATTAATATTATTTAGCACAAATTGTAATAGCCTTGCAAGTAGCAAGGTTAAAATTATAAACACGATTGTAGTTACATAACATTTCATTTTATCTAATTGTTTTTAATATAAATATTTTGTCACTGCTACCTCTTAGCAAAGTTTTGTTACCCTTGCAGGTAGCAAGGAGGCTATGTCGCTATATTGCATTACGTTAACCTTGCAAGTAGCAAGGTTAAATTTATAAACGCGATTGTAGTTACATAACAGTTCATTTTATCTAATTGTTTTTAATATAAATATTTTGTCACTGTTACCTCTTAGCAAAGTTTTGTTACCCTTGCAGGTAGCAAGGAAGCTATGTCGCTATTTTACATTACGTTAGCCTTGCAAGTAGCAAGGTTAAAATTATAAACACGATTGTAGTTACATAACATTTCATTTAATTGTCTTTAATATAAATATCTTGTCACTGCTACCTGTTAGCTAATTGTTTTTAATATAAATATCTTGTCACTGCTACCTGTCAGCAAAGTATTGTTACCCTTGCAAGTAGCAAAGAAGCTATGTCGTTATATTACATTACGTTAGCCTTGCAAGTAGCAAGGTTAGAATTATAAACACGATTGTAGTTACATAACATTTCATATTATCTAATTGTTTTTATATAAATTTTTTGTCACTGCTACCTCTTAGCAAAGTTTTGTTACCCTTGCAAGTAGCAAGGAAGCTATGTCGCTATATTCCATTACGTTAACTGTATGTAAACGTTGTACATATTATTTATTTTCCTGACTATTTTGTTATATTATTGTACAATTGTAATTATTTTTGTTCAATAAACAGAACCCGATGCGGACGCCAAGGGTCCCATGGGGGTCAAGGTTGCTTTTTCACACTTTCCAATCTTCCTTTGTTTCCTCTTCCTCCTTTTTCTGACTTTTCTAACCTCCTCTTTCTGTCTTCTCATAGGGCATATGTCTGCTGCTATATAGCAGACAGCCCTCTTACACTTTCATTGAATGTCTATAGAAACAATCAGTTTCGGTTTTATCGGCTTTACTTACTACTTTTTAAGTGCCTGCTAGTATGGAATCGTCCCTTAAGGGTTCGCAGGCCCCCTTGGCCGCCACCGATGATGCGATGGAGGACTCTTTACCATCCACTTCGAGTGGAAATGCCACTGCTGTCAACATTTATTCTGGGTGTAGCGCTAGAGAAAAAGACTTACTACAGAGCGCAAGTGTACATTTAAAGCGAATTCATGATTTGTTACCTCAACCGTACAAATCAAATATTTGCACAGAAGATAGAAAAGAAATTAAAGATAGAGTCGCCCAGATGTTTGGAGCCATACACCAGATGTATGGTATCCTCTCAGAAATGCGTAAGCAGGTAATATCGCAATCAACTCCTCCAATCCAGGGCCCCACCTTAATCCAAGATAACCCGCATCCTACATACGCAGACATGGCAAGATCAACAAGAAAACCTAGCGAAACAACTAGAACTATCAACAAGACTATCGCAAACAGCGATAGAGGTGGAAGTAGCCATGCTCTAATTGTATACCCGAACCCAATGGGGGGTGAACAAGTAGACATGAAATCCATAACCAAAGAAATAATGGAAAAGGTAAAGCCGCAAAAACTTAAAGTAAATGTTAAGGCTGTCCGTCAAGTGAAGGGGGATGGAGTCTGTTTTCGGGTTGGAAACAGACAAGAGGGAGAGACGCTGCAAAAGGCTATACAAGAAATAAGAGAAATCGAACAAAACATAACATGCAAAGTGTCGGAAGGTAGAAACCCGAAACTCATACTGATCAATGTCCCAAACTCAGTCGAGACTGACCACGTTCTTGACATTATGTACGAGCAGAACCAAGCACTGGAGAAGTACAAGAAAGATGACTACGAGGCCAATTGTAAGCTAACGCAAATAAATATAAGGGGGAGAACTAAAGAGAACTGTCGGCATCTTGTAATTAGTGTTTCTCCCGGTCTGCGTTCAACTCTCTTAAACCTGAAATTCGTAGCCTTATCCTGGGCACAGATAAAAGTAGACGATTTTCTACCGCTCGTCAGATGTTACAAGTGTTGCGGCTTCCAGCACTTGGCGAAGAGCTGCAACAAAAACCTAACTTGTAGCCACTGCACGGAGGAACACTCGTTCCGCGAGTGTAGCAAAGACCAAAAGCCAAAGTGCATAAATTGCATAAATGAGAATAAAAACCTACCGAACGGCAGGAAGTTAAAAACTGATCATAATGCATAC